ACAAACTGGAAACATACCTCAACTGTCTTCTACACACTGCAAACATAACTCAACTGTCTCCTACACACTGCAAACATACCTCAACTGTCTTCTACACACTGCAAACATACCTCAACTGTCTTCTACACACTGCAAAACATAAACCTCAACTGTCTTCTACACACTGCAACTGTCTTCTACACATACTCAACTGTCTTCTACACACTGCAAACATACCTCAACTGTCTTCTACACACTGCAAACATAACCTCAACTGTCTTCTACACACTACACACTGCAAACATACCTCAACTGTCGTCCTACACACTGCAAACATAACTCAACTGTCTCCTACACACTGTAAACATAACTCAACTGTCTTCTACACACTGTAAACATACCTCAACTGTCTTCTACACACTGTGAACATAACTCAACTGTCTTCTACACACTGTAAACATACCTCAACTGTCTTCTACACACTGTAAACATACCTCAACTGTCTTCTACACACTGTAAACATAACTCAACTGTCTTCTACACACTGCAAACATACACACCTCAACTGTCTACACACTGCAAACTACACACTGCAAACATACCTCATCTGTCTTCTACACATTGCAAACATAACTCAACTGTCTCCTACACACAGCAAACATACCCCAACTGTCTTCTACACACTGTAAACATAACTCAACTGTCTTCTACACACTGCAAACATACCTCAACTGTCTTCTACACACTGCAAACATAACTCAACTGTCTTCTACACACTGTAAACATAACTCAACTGTCTTCTACACACTGCAAACATAACTCAACTCAACTGTCTCCTACACACTGTAAACATAACTCAACTGTCTTCTACACACAAATTGCCTTCAACACACTGCAAACATACCTCAACTGTCGTCTACACACTGCAAACATAACTCAACTGTCTTCTACACACTGCAAACATAACTCAACTGTCTCCTACACACTGTAAACATAACTCAACTGTCTTCTACACACTGCAAACATACCTCAACTGTCTTCTACACACTGTAAACATACCTCAACTGTCTTCTACACACTGCAAGCATACCTCAACTGTCTTCTACACACCACTGCAAACATAACTCAACTGTCTTCTACACACTGTAAACATACCTCAACTGTCTTCTACACACTGTCTTCTACACACTGCAAACATAACTCAACTGTCTTCTACACACTGCAAACATACCTCAACTGTCTTCTACACACTGCAAACATAACCCAACTGTCTTCTACACACTGCAAACATACCTCAACTGTCTTCTACACACTGCAAACATAACTCAACTGTCTTCTACACACTGCAAACATAACTCAACTGTCTTCTACACACTGCAAACATAACCCAACTGTCTTCTACACACTGCAAACATACCTCAACTGTCTTCTACACACTGTAAACATACCTCAACTGTCTTCTACACACTGTAAACATACCTCAACTGTCTTCTACACACTGTGAACACAGCTAAATTGCCTTCTACACACTGCAAACATACCTCAACTGTCTTCTACACACTGCAAACATAACTCAACTGTCTTCTACACACTGCAAACATACCTCAACTGTCTTCTACACACTGCAAACAGCTCAACTGACTTCTACACACTGCAAACATAACTCAACTGTCTTCTACACACTGCAAACATACCTCAACTGTCTTCTACACACTGCAAACATAACTCAACTGTCTTCTACACACTGTAAACATACCTCAACTGTCTTCTACACACTGCAAACATACCTCAACTGTCTTCTACACACTGCAAACATAACTCAATTGTCTTCTACACACTGTGAACACAGCTAAATTGCCTTCTACACACTGCAAACATACCTCAACTGTCTTCTACACACTGCAAACATAACTCAACTGTCTCCTACACACTGCAAACATACCTCAACTGTCTTCTACACACTGCAAACATAACCCAACTGTCTTCTACACACTGTAAACATACCTCAACTGTCTTCTACACACTGTGAACATAACTCAACTATCTTCTACACACTGCAAACATACCTCAACTGTCTTCTACACACTGCAAACATAACTCAACTGTCTTCTACACACTGCAAACATAACTCAACTGTCTTCTGCACACTGTAAACATACCTCAACTGTCTTCTACACACTGCAAGCATACTGTCTACACACTGTCTTCAACACACTGCAAACATACCTCAACTGTCGTCTACACACTGCAAACATAACTCAACTGTCTTCTACACACTGCAAACATAACTCAACTGTCTCCTACACACTGTAATCATAACTAAACTGTCTTCTACACACTGTGAACACAGCTAAATTGCCTTCTACACACTGCAAACATAACTCAACTGTCTTCTACACACTGAAAACATAACTCAACTGTCTTCTACACACTGAAAACATACAACAACTGTCTTCTACACACTACACACTGTCTTCTACACAACATACCTCAACTGTCTTCTACACACTGCAAACATAACTCAACTGTCTTCTACAAACTGCAAACACAGCTCAAACACATACCTCAACTGTCTTCTACACACTGCAAACATAACTCAACTGTCTTCTACACACTGCAAACATAACTCAACTGTCTTCTACACACTGTAATCATAACTCAACTGTCTTCTACACACTGTGAACACAGCTAAATTGCCTTCTACACACTGCAAACATACCTCAACTGTCTTCTACACACTGCAAACATAACTCAACTGTCTTCTACACACTGCAAACATAACTCAACTGTCTTCTACACACTGCAAACAAAACTCAACTGTCTCCTACACACTGCAAACATAACTCAATTGTCTCCTACACACTGCAAACATACCTCAACTGTCTTCTACACACTGCAAACATAACCCAACTGTCTTCTACAAACTGTAAACATAACCCAACTGTCTTCTACACACTGCAAGCATACCTCAACTGTCTTCTACACACCACTGCAAACATAACTCAATTGTCTCCTACACACTGCAAACATACCTCAACTGTCTTCTACAAACTGCAAACATAACCCAACTGTCTTCTACACACACAACTGTCTTCTACACACTGCAAACATAACTCAACTGTCTTCTACACACTGCAAACATACCTCAACTGTCTTCTACACACTGCAAACATAACTCAACTGTCTTCTACACACTGTAAACATAACTCAACTGTCTTCTACACACTGTGAACATAACTCAACTATCTTCTACACACTGCAAACATACCTCAACTGTCTTCTACACACTGTGAACATAACTCAACTGTCTTCTACACACTGCAAACATAACTCAACTGTCTTCTACACACTGCAAACATAACTCAACTGTCTTCTACACACTGCAAACATACCTCAACTGTCTTCTACACACTGCAAACATAACTCAACTGCAAACATAACTCACACTGTAACTCAACTACACACCGCAAACATAACTCAACTGTCTCCTACACACTGCAAACATACCTCAACTGTCTTCTACACACTGCAAACATAACTCAACTGTCTTCTACACACTGCAAACATAACCCAACTGTCTTCTACACACTGTAAACATACCTCAACTGTCTTCTACACACTGCAAACATAACTCAACTGTCTTCTACACACTGCAAACATAACTCAACTGTCTTCTACACACTGCAAACATAACTCAACTGTCTTCTACACACTGCAAACATACCTCAACTGTCTTCTACACACTGCAAACATAACCCAACTGTCTTCTACACACTGTAAACATACCTCAACTGTCTTCTACACACTGCAAGCATACCTCAACTGTCTTCTACACACCACTGCAAACATAACTCAATTGTCTTCTACACACTGTGAACACAGCTAAATTGCCTTCAACACACTGCAAACATACCTCAACTGTCTTCTACACACTGCAAACATAACTCAACTGTCTTCTACACACTGCAAACATAACCCAACTGTCTTCTACACACTGTAAACATAACTCAACTGTCTTCTACACACTGCAAACATACCTCAACTGTCTTCTACACACTGTAAACATACCTCAACTGTCTTCTACACACTGCAAACATAACTCAATTGTCTCCTACACACTGCAAACATAACTCAATTGTCTCCTACACACTGCAAACATACCTCAACTGTCTTCTACACACTGCAAACATAACCCAACTGTCTTCTACAAACTGTAAACATACCTCAACTGAGGTAAACACTAAAGGTCAGTTTTGTGATAAACACAAAAGGTCAGTTATGTGATAAATACAAAAGGTCAATTTTGTGATCAACACAAAAGGTACGTTATGTGATAAATACAAAAGGTCAGTTTTGTTATCAACACAAGAGGTCAGTTATGTGATAAACACAAATGGTCAGTTATGTGATAAACACAAAAGGTACTGATGTGATCAACACAAAAGGTCAGTTATGTGATGAAGAAAACTGACCTTTGTTCCACTATCAGCAAACAATAATTAGATGTGCATGTCTGAAGCCAATTGCAATCAAATCATATCAAATGAAGAAAAATGGGATGACATTAACAAACTTAGAGAAAGTAAATATGTGGAGCAAGAGTGATGGTTTTGAGTGACAGAAATACAGTAATTACTAGCAGTAGGGCGAGCACAGACAATGTCCCCTACAGTGCTATACTTACTAGACGTGTGGCTAGCACAGACAATGTCCCCTACGGTGCTATACTTACTAGCTGTGGAGTGAGCACAGACAATGTCCCCTACAGTGCTATACTTACTAGCTCTGTGTCTAGCACAGACAATGTTACCTACAGTGCTTATACTTACTAGCAGTGGGGCGAGCACAGACAATGTCTCCTACAGTGCTATACTTACTAAGTGTGTGGCTAGCACTGACAATTTTCCCTACAGTACTATACTTACTAGCAGTGGGGCGAGCACAGACAATGTTACCTACAGTGCTATACTTACAAGCTGTGTGGCTAGCACAAACAATGTCCCCTACAGTGCTATACTTACTAGCTGTGGGGCTCGCACAGACAATATCCCCAAACAGGGAAACATTGTGTGAGGAAAGGAAAGTCCAGATCCACAAGTTAGGGCACGTGCAGACCCAGTCTATCCCTGAAATCTCAAGAGTCGTCAGTGATGTAGTCTTATCGAACATGTCTGCAGGAAGAGCAATGAAGGGATTGTTTTTCATCGAGATGTGAGACACCTTGGTAGAGGCTTGGAACATGTCTTTCTGTACAACTCGCATGTGGGTGTTATCTAGGATTATCGTAGAAACATTCGACAGCGAATACAGGGCGCCATTCGGAAGAGCGCCAGATGTTATCTGAGTGTTCCGGAAAGCTAGCAAACCTAATGGTTCCGGGACGCTGTTCATTCTCTCTATGTTGACTCCGTTGAAGGAGTTGAACCCCATATTACTGATGGACCCTCCATCAATGCTGAAGTAATTGAGTGTTCCGAAACTACTGAAGACATCATCAGGGATGGAAAGGATCATACAGTCGAAGATACGCAGTTCATTCACCCAATCCATATTGGCAAAAGTTCCGTTATATATGATAAGCGATCCACCGGCAACGCATCGCAAGTGGAGAGCGGGTACGATGTTACCATCGAACAGTGCCGTATTTACGTTTTCAAATCCAGAAAAAGTTGCTGGTCCTGTATAAGAAAGCGCTCCGTCAATCTCGATCAACTTCAGTACCTGTGGTACGTTGTCGAAGTCCGAGTACACCAGGGGGAGAGACCAGCTACGGGCATTGCAGTTGTACTCTTTAGTTGTAGAATCATATGTACATCCCTGAGGATCTACTGCAAGCGTCAATGTGACTCCGACGATCAGCAACGCAAGCGCCGACGCACCCATGGTCGACAGAAAGTATAACGATCACAAATGACGTTTAGAAGTTCAAAATCTTCAACCTCAGTTACAGAACTGTATAATATGTTTGTACCCGGTACGTAACAGAATCTTCAGGGAAACCTTGAAGCCTTAATATCCACCAATGTTAATATGATAGTTTGATGTTAACAGCGTCGTCATTCAAACATCTTTCCACGTAACTAACTCGTATATTATAGCGAGGTTATACGGCTGTTACAGTATTAGGGACGCTGCCAATCAAATACAACTTTGTATTGTACAATTGAATTATCGGATTTCATTTTTCCTTTTGGGACGGAAGCGAGATCATGGATTAAGGTTAAATCTTTTCCACTTGTCAAATAGTTTGATCGCTGTAGTACAAATATCCTCGGTGGATTAAGAACTAAAGTTTAGATAAATCTGTACATGATATAACACTGATATGTATTAACAAATAATGTTATTTTATGTCAACAATTGTAATCAAAATAGCGTTTTAGTTGTTATAGCTGATATAAATCTAATGGTGTTCGCCTTTTAGTTATAACTGTTGCAGTTTTGGGGAGTTTGTGATGGTTTTGTTTCGGTTTTTGTCCTTGTGAGAGGCTTTTTTGATGAAAGAGACAATTTTTTTCAATAATTTTAAAATCAGAATTGCCAATGTTGGGTCCTTTGGATCAATACATACAGAGCGTGATCCTTTGTAGGGATAGCATTGGGTGGTTCTCATTCATATATCACGTGAAATGCCATAATGATGTTGTTGTTCACGGGAGTCCGTTTAGGTCTCGTAGCAGGTGTTGTGGGGACTATTATTGAGTTTTGGAGTTAATTATCGTTTCGCTGCTTTTATTTATGGAAGGTGTTAATGTTTCTGTTGACTAGGTGTTACAGCCTGGCTATACTAGGTGTTACAGCCTGGCTAGACTAGGTGTTACAGCCTGGCTAGACTAGGTGTTACAGCTTGGCTAGGTGTTACAGCCTGGCTAGGTGTTACAGCCTGGCTAGACTAGGTGTTACAGCCTGGCTAGGTGTTACAGCCTGGCTAGACTAGGGTTACAGCCTGGCTAGACTAGGTGTTACAGCCTGGCTAGACTAAGGTTACAGCCTGGCTAGACTAGGTGTTACAGCCTGGCTAGGTGTTACAGCCTGGCTAGACTATGTGTTACAGCCTGGCTGTTGGTCTGTACAGATTTTGTTTTGTTGTTAGAGGGAGTGTTGGCTGTTGTTGATGACAGAAATTCGTTATAACCTCACTGTTTGTAACAATACGTTATCACTATATTCTATCTATATAATGCGATGTTTGTTAACAATGAACGCGACTTTCAGAAATCCGTTTGGTTATTCAACAGTGTTACGTTACGGAACTAACATACAGTAAATAAAACCCAAAAGCTAGGTTAAAATTCAACATTTTGATAACAACAAATAAATTCATTCTATACAGTAGAATTATCAAAATGGCGATGGTGTACAGAGCTAGCCACTAATTAATCAAATGTCAGAACATTTCTTTCGGTGGAAATCCTCCAAATGTAGAATTCACAATAGATTGCCCAGAAAACAGGGTATCCGAAGAATAATCCAAGATTTGTTTCATCGCTGGTTATATAAGTGCAAGTCTGTTAATATAGTAAATATGGTTCGTTTGGAGTACCCTCATGTTGTACTTGTGTGCAATAATATGACGTATGTATACTAGGTTCACTAAGGTGCTATCTCGCTTGAGCTGAGTATATCAGACGGAACCCGTATGTAAAAACACGTGCTGTAAATAAACGAGTTGATCGTTCGTCTGGCTCCTGGTCGTTAATCAGCAAAACTCGTTACATGGTGTCAGAAGTGTGTTACAAGTGGACAAGAATGTGGTAAGAAGACACCAGAAGATCCACAACCCGAGTTGTCTGAGAAGAATCCGCTGTCATGGCTAAATTTACTCCATTGGAGAACTTCAACTTCTGCGCCCCGGTAGAATGACCGGATTGGAAGCATCGTTTTGCGCGTTACCGGATGGCGACAAAATTCTATAAAGATGAGGAAGAGGTGCAAGTAAGTGCTCTTATATATGCCTTGGGTAAACAAGCCGAACACGTGTTTAAATAATTCACGTTTGCCAATGCCGGAGATGAGGCTAAATAAGAAACGGTTCTCGAGAAATTTGACACATATTTCGTACCAAAAAGGAATGTGATTCACGAGACGGCTGGGTTTCACACGAGAACTCAAAAGCCAGGAGAATCCATTGAGGCATTTGCTCGTGTATTGTGTGAAAGATGAACAGATCAGAGATAGGCTTGTGATAGAAATTTCTGTCAAATCTGTATCGGAGAAACTACCAATGAAGCCAGCTTTGACCCTAGACACAGCACTACAGATGGGGAGACAGGCCGAGCTGGTGAAATCTCAAATGAAAGAACAAGGTCGTAAAATGGTCGAGGAAGTAAAGCGAAACACCGATAGTAAGGGACAATGGACTCCATACAAATCTAGACCAAAACAACAGTCTAGGTCTGTGAATCAACATAAACAACAGTCACAACATCAAATGGGCAGTGCATTACGCGATGTAACAGAGTTCATGTTGGTAGTGAGGCGTGTCCAGCCTATGGTAAGCGATGCAAAGAGTGTAATCACTTCGCAGTATGTTGTCGGTCAAAAACAGCTCAGAGTCAGAAACCGGTCCGAGAAGTGGTGTACGAGACAGATAATCAGAAACCATTACATTCACATGTGAAGATAATGAGGAACCGTGGACAGTAACACTACGTATAGTCCAGTCTCCAATTACCATGACAATCGACACAGGAGCAGATATCAGTGTCATTTCTGAGGCTACTACAAAGTACAAGGGTAATTAATTAGTACAGTTTGATGTATATGTTGTTCGTGGTACAGGGGCGACCAATCTGTTCGACAGGAATGTCGCAGTTCAAATGGGTCTTATTAAGAGACTTAATGAAGTAACTATTGACAGTGAAGTGTTTGGTGCTACAGGTCTTGTGAAATGTGAACCAGTAAAGATTAAGATGAAACCTGACATCACACCATATTGCGTCACAACAGCTCGTCGAGTGTCATTCCCACTCTTTGAAAAGGTGGAAAAGGAACTGGCCATGATGGAAAAGACGGTATTATTGATCCTATTGACTGGTGTGCCCCCATGGTGCCTGTTATCAAGAAAAATGGAATTGCGAGGATATGTGTAGACTTAAAAACGCTGAATGAAGGTGTAAAAAGAGAACATCTGATGTTACCAACACTTGATGATATCTCACGTAAACTGGTTGGAGCTACTGTATTCTCAAAACTAGATGCAAGTAGTGGATTTTGTCAGATACCATTACACCCCGATAGTTCCAGATTGGCCACGTTCGTAACATCTTTCGGGCGTTTCTGTTTTCGTCGTGTTCCCTGCGGAATAACCTCAGCACCAGAAATATTCCAACGGAAAATGGCAGAATTATTGTCTGATCTGGATGGAGTAGAGGCCATAATTGACGATACACTATTCTCCCACCATTCACAGTCGTGTCTCCCGTTTAAGCCGGGAAAGACCAGCTTGTCACCCCTAGGGGGAGATAGTCTCGTGCCGATAAGCTCGTTCTAAACCGGAAGTTCGACCGGAACTACTTCTGGATTGTAAACAAACATCGTCTGCTAGTATCCTGAAGCAAATTCAAACTGAAGATAATAGAATTGGTATCAATCATGAACTTCAAAGTAGGAAGTGTGGTGAGAGTAGGTGCAAATGGCAGGATTGGGAAAATAGTTGACACTTTTCGCCCCATAGGAACATATTTCATGTTTAAAGTCCAAATGTTTGACACCGGTGATATTGTTACGGCTTCAAAACATGTACTTGTAAAAGGAATGTCAGACGAGGAATTCTCGGAAGAGTTTCAATTCTTTTTCGATTCGTTCCACGACACAGTTACTAGATCTAATGCTCTCCCTCCAGCACCCTGCTCACCCCCACAACAAGTCACTTCCCTGCAGACCTCCCTCTCAAGTGATACCTGTACTGAAACTGAAACTGAAAGCAAGAGATTTGTTCCACCGAAGGACGAAAACATCGTAGATTTTGTATCTGAGCACGAAAACAAAAGCACACTTAAAAAAACACTCTGTAACATAAATTTGTTGAGAAAGTTCGTAATTTCTGAAGATGAATCACGTCCAATTCACGAAATACCACCAAACGATCTGGATCGGTATTTAGCAAAATTTTTCATTTGTGTCCGTCAGAAGGATGGTACCGAATACCAGCCAGGCTATTTGCGTGGAATGCTTGGGTCATTTGAACGTAACCTAAAGAGACACAAATATGGTACAAGCGTTATCAGCGGATTCGAGTTTTCAGGTACGAAGGAGGCACTGCTATCGAAACAGAAAGACTTGAAAAAAAGGGACACGGAAATAAACCTCAAGCAGCAGACCGCATCGAAGTCAAAGACATCGACACACTTTACACTAACGGACAATTAGGAAATTCCACACCTGCTACTTTATTGAACACTCTCTGGCTAAACAACACACTGTACTTCGGGATGAGGGGAGGGGGAGAAGAACATCGATCTCTCTGTTGGGGGGATATTGAACTGTGCTATGACACTGACACAAGATTCGAATATTTAACTTACAATGAAAGGCAGACAAAAACAAGGACAGGGATCGACTTAAACAACATCCGACCTAGCAAACCACGACAGGTGTCCGGTGGAATAAGTATTTAGTGATCGAAGGCCAGCCAATTACTGTAACACAGATCATCCCTTTTATCTCGCGCCCGTCACATGTGTATCAAAACCAACTCCCAATCAGCAATGGTTTTTGAGAGGTCCTGTCGGGAGACATAAATTAAGCCAACTTATGAAAAACATGGTACATAATGGCAACTTGTCCATTGTTGAACATAAACACCTTACCAACACTAGCGTCAGAAAGCACCTGTGCCAATAACTGATGGAAAATAATGTACCCGATACACATATTACATA